TCGGGAGGCTGAAGGAGGAGAATCGCTTGAACTCAGAGGCAGAGGTTGCAGTGAGCCGGGATCGCGCCACTGCACTTCAGCCTGGGCCACAGAGAGGGACTCCATCTCAATAAAATAAAATAAAATAAAATAGTGGACTAAACAAGGAGGCCCAGGACAGTAGAGGAGTCCAAATGGTTCCTACTTGGTCAGGAAGGTAGAAAGTGGGGTCATGGTGCAGACTGGACTCTTCCCAATCACAGACTGTTTGCCTGGCAGGCATGCCCTCCTCCCCTTATTTCACCTGTCAACTTCCTCCTCCTGATGCAAGCCCAAATCACAAATGATGACTTCTCCTGGAAGCCTTCTGGATTCCTCCTTGCTGGCATTGCTTGCTTCCTTCTCTGCACTCTCCAAGCTATACTACAACAACATCATCATCTGGTTAACTGCGCGGGTCTGTTCTGGCCCTCCCACCACTGACTGAGTTTCTGGAGGCCAGGGAGCTTTCTTCAGCACAGGAGGCGCCGCGCTCTGCCGCCGGTCGACCCCTGAGGGCGAGGCCAGAAGGAACGGAAATGTGGCACGGTTCGGCGGTTCTCGGATGCGCGCGACTGCCCAAGTACGCACGCTCCGCTGGAGCCTGGGGTGGCCGCGCAGTCTCGGCCGAGACGTGTTTGCTGCGCTTCGGTGCACACAGGCACTGCGGTGCCAACCTTCTGGTTCCGCCCTCCCCCGGCAGGCGCCCACGCGTGACCTCGGCCGCCCACAGGCCTTCGACTCTTCCCGGACTCCAGGTCCCAGGCCACCCCGCTCCACCCTGCGGATGATGAAGACAAAGTTCCCCGCAAGTCCCTCATGTGGGGCAAGGGGGAGGTACCACCTGGGGCCGGGCCTGGCTCCCCACTGAGCAGAGGTGTTGGCCAAGGCGCTCCCCCTAGTGGTAAGTACCCCCTGGTTCCCCCTCACAACCTCTGTAGTAAGTCACAGCCAGACGACCCCGCCCCACGTCTGCGGCAGCCTGGGAACCTGCCTCCCTGTTTCAGGCCCCGCCCCCTACAGCCTTCCCTCCTCGGCAGCCCAGGGAGCTTTAAAAATGCACATGACATCTCTGCACACTGGATCCGAGAATCCCAAGCCTGTTGCGGTGGCGCGCGCCTGCGGTCCTCGCTGAGGCGGGAGGATCAATTGAGCCCAGGAGTGGAGGCTGCAGTGAGCTGTCATCGCGCCACTGCACTCCAGCGCGAGCGACAGAGAAAAAAAGAGAGAGAAACAAACCTCTAAACCCCTGATCAGCAAAGCACATCATCTCCACACATCCTTCCTGACCTCACCTCCTGTTCCACTCCCTCCCACTTACGCCCTTCCAGCTGCACGGACCCCTTTCCTCAAACCCACCAGGCCTGCTCTCGCCTCAGGGCGACGCACTTGCTGTGCCTGCGGCTGCCCTTCCCCCGATGGCTCCCTCCCTGGCTTCCAGCACACGACCTCCTCAGCAAGGCCTCCCCATCCCTCTGTGATATCCCCCCCACTATCCAGTCTCAGCTTTCTTCATAGCACCTGTCACCCTGGCATATCTGTTTATTGTTTGTCTCACTAGCAATAATGTAAGCCCCCCAAAGTGGAGGTTGTGTATGTCTTGTTCACTGCTCTATTCCCCATTGCCTGGAACAGGACTAGCATGTAGTAGATGCTTCATAAAAATGGTTCCATGGATTCTTTTTTTTTTAGACGGAGTTTGACTTTTGTCGCCCAGGTTGGAGTGCAATGGCACGATCTCGGCTCACTGCAACCTCCGCCTCCCAGGTTCAAGTGATTCTCCTGCCTCAGCCTCCCGAGTAGCTGGGATTACAGGCGCCCACCACCATGCCCAGTTAATTTATTTGTATTTTTAGTAGAGATGGGGTTTCATCATTTTGACCAGGCGAGTCTTGAACTCCTGACCTCAGGTGATCCACCTGCCATGGCCCCACAAAGTGCTGGATTGCAGGCGTAAGCCACTGTGCCTGGCCCCGTGGATTCTTTGAGAATCTTCTATGAGTCAAGCAGCTCTTCATTCAGCTCACGAGAAGCCTATGATTCACCTATTGCATAGATGTGGAGACTGAGATTCAGAGAGATATGAGACTTGTCCACCGTCATATGAGCTTGCTGTAGTGGGAGCTGGGTTTCAACCCAGGTGAGTCTCTCCCCCTCTGCCTCTCTGCTTTCCAGCTCATCTCCTAGTTGAGAAGGGGGACAAAACATCTGGTTTTGCCTTCACTTCACCCTAGTATAGGCAAGGCTGGCACCCAGTGACCCCAGACAGGGCCTGAGGCACCATCTCCCTGGGAGGTCTTGGTCAGGGGGCCACAGGAGGGGGATCATACAGTCTCCTGAGGTGGGCAGGCCCACCTTTGGCCCTGCCCACATTTTCGTGGAGCCACCCACCCTGACCCCCAGCTCCTAAATGACCCAACCCACTGCCTTCCTTTCAGCCACCACTGAGTCCCTAAACTCTCTCAGAATGGACCTGGGTGCCTCTGCTTTTGCCTTCATCCCACCTGAGATACAGTGAGAGAGAGAGAGACACAGGGAGACGTGGGGAGACAGGGACAGAGACAGAAACACACACACACAGACACACTTACATACCAACAGAGAGAGACCAGGAGAGAGACAGAGACACAGGAAGACGTGGGGAGACAGGGACAGAGACAGAAATACACACACACAGACACACTTACATACCAACAGAGAGAGACCAGGAGAGAGACAGACTTGGCAAGTCCCTTTGCAATGCTCCAAACCTCATGGATGCAATCAGGGCCACTGCCAGCCCATTGCCCCTTTTGAGCAAGTTAGGAAAGGCACCCTCCAGGGGAATGCTACCCCTCCCAGGGCCTGGCGAGTGAGTGCGATGGGCTGGGCTTCAGTCCCACTGGCCCTTCCTCCGAATGAGTGTGCTGGTGCAGGAGGGTCCATGGAAGCCGTCCCCAGATGTCTCTATGCCAGGGGGAGAAGGCAATGCTGCAATGCTCCCCAGTCCTCGGGCCCACCCCACAGGCCTGCCCCTGCTGTGTTCTCTGAGAGGCCTTTGAGGATCCCCAGTCCTCAGCCCCGACCCGTAGGCCTGCCCTTGCAGTGTTCTCTGAGGCCTTTCAGGAACGGTTGGGCTCTCACCATTCTGGCCTTGACCGGAGCCCAGCCCTGTGCACTCACCCACGGGGCCTTCCCCCACAGCAGGTCCTTGGGTCACCTCTGCCTTCACCACTCAGAAATGTCAAGCCAAGCCCTTCCACAGAAACCAGCCCAGGATGCTATGTGGTTGGGAAGAGGCCCTCAGGCCTGTTCCAGCACACAGACCCCCTCCTGCTCCAGGGACAGCACCAGCAAACCACACCACACTTCCCAGCCTCACAGACCCCCGCAGTTCAGAGGAATCCCAGGAGTGGACGAGAAGGTGCCATGGGCCTCACTGGACAGACAGGGAAAATGAGGAACAGAGAAGAACGGTGAGCAGCCCAGGGTCCCACACCCCGAACCAAGGTTTCTGCCCCCCTCCGCCCCTCTCTCCCACATCCAGGTGCTCCCAGGGAAGCCCTGCAAGGCCCCACCCTTCCCAACAGAGAACACTCTGAGAGGAAATGATTAACAGGGCAATTAGGGCACAGGTGAGTCATCTGGTCACAAGGCCGCCTCCTGGCTGACTCAGGGGGACAGTCCAGATGGGCCCTTCCACCCAGCCCCAGCTCAGGGTCTGAGTCAAGGACTCCATGTGATCTGGCCAGGAAGCCCAGGAGAAAGCCCTCAGCCCTCTCCAGGCTCCACCCATGCCATGCAGGCTGGGGGACACAAGCGGGGACTCCCACCTTCACTGGGCTGGCCTGGGTCAGGGCAGGGGACCAGCTGCTACAGTTTCTGTCTCCCCACGCTAAGTCTGTGGCCACAGGGCCAGCCATCCAACCAACAGCTGTGGTTATCAATCACAGCGATGACTAAGAATGGCCATCATGTTCTGACATTGAACTTCAGCTCTGCAACAGGCCTCAGGCTAGACACCGTGGGGACCCATGGGGACCATCAGACAAGCTTCTATGGATAGCAGTCATGTTGAAAAGAGCTGGGGACAGTGAGCTTTTTTTCTCATACATCTGCTGAAGGGCCTCAGAGCCTGGACCCAGGCAGAAAGGAAGGAAAGGGGGACCCCACAGGTAAGCCAGCAGGACCTTCTGGTGAACAGCACCTCCTGGTGTCCAAACTAGGCCTGGCCCTGCTGCCCATCTCATCTCTGGGAAGCCAGGTGTGTCGGTCTCCTTCCCTGGCCAGTAAGGGCCTGTCATTAGGCACCCCACCCCAAGCCCACCTTTACTTTTGAGATTAGGCAACACTGGACACCAGGGACCCCTGGCCTACCCAGGCCAGCCCTCCCGAGGCAGATCCCCTGTCCCAGGGCCTCTTTCCTGGCTTTGTCCTTGGGCGGACTGGGCAGGAACTTCCTGTGAGAGAATTCCCGGATCTTCCCTAGGAGGCTACGGCAAGGCCTGGGAACTTAGGGAGGGAGGGAAGTCAGGGGCACCCCTCCTAACAGGGGCAGGGCTTGTGGACGGCAGGGTCCCCTGGCACTCTGGGCCCTGGGTCCTTCACCAGCCCCAGGTCAGGCCAGCCAGACCTCCTGCCCTCTCTGCTCAGATGCCCTGCTGCAGCCCCTCCACTCTGGGCATAGACTGGGCATAGACTGGGGACTAGATCAAGGCCTCAGATAGACTGGGCTTGCTCCAGGGTTGAAGATTGAGGGGCGGGGTCCAAAGACAGCTAACAATGAGGCCAAAGTCAAAGTAGATTTTTATTAATAACATCACAGGCCTGAGTTGGCTGGGTGGGATAGAATTTGGGGCAGACCCATCCTACAGACACATGGACACTGTCTCAAGACCCGCTGGTCACAGGGGCTCCTTAGATGTACCCTAAGAAGAGAGATACCCCCATGTACCAGCTCCGGAGATCTGGGCAGGGCAGACTCGGGGCCAGCGCCGGCTTCACTAAGGAGGCCAGTTTCCCATCCCATCCTCCTCAAGAAGCAGGCACTGGGGGACAGAAATGGGTGAAGAAAGATGCCTCAGTCTTCTCTGTACCCCATAACCTCTCCCCCACCCCCAAGAGACAAGCACCCGAGGACCCCTTTCTCCCACTTCCCCTTGGCAGGCACAGCTCCACCAACCCTGAGCCACCTCCCTGCCACAAAATGGAGAATCCCTTCTCCCTCCAACTTGGGGGGGTCCTTGGAAGCCCCAGGAGTCAGCACCGCAGCCAGTCCCTCCCCTCCCTCACCTCTGGACCCCACCCCAAGGGGGGTCTGCGCTCTCCCATCAAGCCCAAGGTGGCGCTGCTGCTGCCGCCGTGCCCCTCCCTAGGTGCCCAGCATTCCCCAAAGGCTGGGGGCAGCCTCCTTCCCCCTCAGCACAGTGTCCCTGAGGGCAGCAAGGGGAAATAGGAATGGGGATGAGGACAGGACCTTTGAAACACCCACTGGAGATAGATATTCTTAAGGCAACTGTCCCCAAAGTGAGGACTGGGCTGAGCCCTTACTTGCCACCACCCACAAATGACCCAGGCCTCTCAGCACTACTCAGGCAACCCCAGGACTGTGACTCCTGGGACAGGGCAGGCTGGCTGGGGAGGGGATGGGAAGAAGGGGGAGGACCAGTGAGGGCAGATCCCAAGATTCAAACCCTTCGGTGTGAAAAGACAAAGTGACGGGCTCTGCCACGTGCTGACAGCCTATGTGGCTGTGGATGAGGTGACACACGGGCTTCCTGTGACATGGGCAAGCAGGCGGGCTTGGGGCAATCAGAAGGATGCCTCTCAGTGCCCAGCAGGCATGCTTTCCTTTTTGTTTGAGACAGGGTCTCGCTCTGTTGCCCAGGCTGGAGTGCAGTGGCATTCTCACAGCTCACTGCAGCCTCAACTGCCTGGGCTCAAGTGATCCTCCCACCTCAGTCTCCCAAGTAGCTGGGACCACACGTGCACGCCACCATGCCTGGTTAATTTTTGTATTTTTTGTAGAGACAAGGTTTTGCCACGTTGCCCAGGCTTTTCTCAAACTCCTGAGCTCAAGCAATCCGCCCACCTCAGCCTCCCAAAGCACTGGGATTATAGACATGAGCCACCACACCCAGCCCCAGGTGGCAAGTCTTTCTGATAGGCACTGCTCCAAAGTGAATCACATTGTGCTAAGCCCCCACAAGGGAGTGCCTTTGCAGCTTACAGCTGCACATGCATCATCTCAGGAGGTCCTTGCAACAGTCCCCTTTCACGGGTAAAGAAACTGAGGCCTCTACTCAACATCACAGAACAAGCTAATGCCAGACTAAAACCTCTGGCCTCCAAACCCCATGCCCTTTCCTTTTGTAAGCTACACAGACTGTCAGGGCAAATGTCCACTGAATAAAAGAATGAGATGATGAATAGATGGAAATTAACCAAAAAGGTCATTGACACACTTTCAACAGATCCATCAACATGCACTCAGAGAAGCTGAGACAGGTCTAACCTTTAAAGGCCAATGTCAAGGATGGGGAGCAGCAGGATGGTACTCCGTCTGACCCAGTGGGGTCACTCCCCTGAGCCTATGTGTGTTTGGAGTGGACGAGAATGGGAAAGAGATTAGAAAAACAGCAGCATCGTGTGAATTACAGATGCACAGGAAAGACTTACAGCCTGTCTAGACAAATTCACTCATGTTACAGATGAGGAAACTGAGGCTCAGAAAGAGGAAGGGACTTGCCCAAGGCCACACAGCAAATGAATGGCAAAGTTGAGACCAAAAAAATGGACATTGTGACTCTGAGTCAAGTGAGAAACAGAGAGACTGATGGAGAAGAGAGTGTGTGTGTGTGTGTGTGTGTGTGTGTGTGTGTGTATGTGCATGCTGCGTGCACTCACTCAGGGGGTCAGGATCCTGAATTCAGAAATACTACCACCAAGAAGGCATTATGCCTACCCTACCCAGGCAGTGGGGCTGGAGCCAGGGCCCAGGGTACGGAGGGGATGGTAAGCCTCCAACCCCACCTTCTCCAGGCAGGGGCTGGCGGTCTGGCACGGGCCAAGCGTACCTGGCCATCCACAATGCCTGCCTCCACCAGGGTGATCTCTGGCCGGGTAGCAGCTCTCAGCCCTCTTGGCTGCCTAGCTTCCAGAGGCGAGACTCTTGCTGCATTCCCAGAAGCTTCTTCAACTCCGACTCCAGGAAACCTGAGAGCCAGAGAAATGGCAGGGGACAGGGAGATGGCAGAGGACAGGCAGAAGTAGGGTGGAGCAGCCTGCTGGGAACCCAAGGACCCGGAAGTGCAACCGCCCCCTGAGCCTCATCCCAGCTCTGTGTGATTCCTGCTCACCCTCAGTCACAGCCCTTTCTTATTCCAGGAGTGGAGCCAGCCAGGCACCACCCCTCCTTCGCCCTGCCTTCCCCAGGAAGCTCACTCTGAGGGCCTCCTCCGGCAGCGGCAGCATGAGAGCCTGCGTCTTCACCCACTGGGGACAGCATGTGAGGAGCAGGTATCTGCCCCCACCACCAACTGACTCAAGAGCCTGGATCTGGAACGCAAACTGCCTGCACTCAAATTCCAGCTCTGCCCATCACTAGCTGTGTGACATCGGACAAGTTCTCACTGTGAACTGGAGGTGGCAATAGGACCTACCTCAGAGTCGTAATGCAGTATTTCATGAAAAGTGCTTAAAGAGGGTCTGCCCCATTAATGGCTATGTAAATGTGAACCACGATTTTCATCATATTATGTATGCTATCACCGCTAACCCAACTACTGTCTGTGTCTGGGCTGCCCGGGACTCTACTGGGAGAGAGGACCCTCCGGGGCTCTGTCACAGCAGTGCATGATGGGAAAACCATGAGGATGGAGGCAGCCACTGAAGGCATTAGAAACCTCTGGGCTGGGGGAAAGGGTGCTGCTTGAGTAGTACCACCCCCTCAAACCCTGAGGAAGACCCTAGCTACACCTAGTGTGGCCTCCAGGCCAGCCACACACTGCTCCCCGGGCTCAGGTGGTCATCTTAGGTCCTCTGGTACCATCTGGTGGTACCTGCTGGTATTGCACCTCTGAGCCACTGGCCAAAGTGAGGCTTCCTGGGCCTGGGGCCACGTGGGAGGGGAGGGGCGGAAGCCCTTACGCACTGTGTCTGTGGATCTGAAAGTCTTGTACAGTGGCGGGTGGAGGGCAACAATGCCTGGGACACAGAGCTTGAATGAGCTGTCCTCTTCCTTCACTTTCTCTTCCTCGCTTTTCTCCTCACTGGGCAAACCTTTTTGGAGAGGAGTCCAGCCGGTCTCTGAGCAGGTGAGGGAGCCCAGGACCCCAGGCCTGCAGCCCCACCCCACCTCTAGGCAAGACAGGAAGCAGGAGGGAACATGTCCCAAAAGGTTAAGAAAGGGGACTGCTCCTTCCAGTCCCAGGCCACATATTCTGGGGCCCAGCCTGATGTGGGAAAGGCCCTAACCCATGCCTCATGCCCCCATCACCCACAGACCTTGGCCATGGCAGAGTTTTGAAGCTCCTTGTACAAACTGTGGAAGTGGTTCCAGGGAGTAGCCTCCACCTTGGAAGAGGCCAACACGAGGTCTCCTGTGAATGGGTGGTGGTCCCTGACAGGCTGGGATGTCAGGCCTCGGAGGGCAGGCACATGGCGGGGGGGCTGAGTTGTGGGTGGGGTTGCCATGTTTTCTTTAGCAAATGCCTACTGTGTGCCACACACCGTTCTGGGCATTTTACAGAGTATCTCAGTTCATCCTTGCACTTCCTTCAAGGGTAGGTACTATTATATTCCCACTTTATTTTTTTTATTTTTTATTTATTTATTTATTTTTTTTTTGAGACGGAGTCTTGCTCTGTCGCCCAGGCTGGAGTGCAGTGGCCGGATCTCAGCTCACTGCAAGCTCTGCCTCCCAGGTTTACGCCATTCTTCTGCCTCAGCCTCCCGAGTAGCTGGGACTACAGGAGCCCGCCACCTCGCCCGGCTAGTTTTTTGTATTTTTTAGTAGAGATGGGGTTTCACCGTGTTAGCCAGGATGGTCTCGATCTCCTGACCTCGTGATCCGCCCGTCTCGGCCTCCCAAAGTGCTGGGATTACAGGCTTGAGCCACCGCGCCCGGCCTATATTCCCACTTTAAAGATGAGGAAACAGACGCAGAGAGGTTGAATAAGCTGCCGCCCATCACACAGCTCAGCATGTTAGAACTGGCATTTGAACCCAGGCAGTCTGACTCCAGCAGTCCCTCAAAATGTGTCCCGTGTCCTGCCAGGCCCTGCACTCCTGAGATGTTCTACAAGAAGAGGGTCCATTTCTGGCGCTTCCCCTATGCCTATGGCCACCACACTCACCTTCAAGCAGATACTCTTTCTCCCTGGTGGAGGCCTCAGGGCTGACCTCACAGGGCCCTGTGACTCTCTGGAGGTATTATTCCTTCAACTTCAGGATCTGGATAAAGTGGCTCCTAATCCCAAAGCACAGTCAGGTGAGGGAGGCAGGTGGGGCTCAGAGGTGTGGCAGAGATCCCCTAAACCTCCCCTAAGGCTCACCCACAGGTCTGCCGGTCCTCTCCAGCCTTCCTCTCCCATCAACCCCCTGCTCTGCCATCTGGGGTTCTCCTCATACAGGGGGATTATTGCTCTCGAAAGTAGGGTGATGAGTGGGTGGGGAACAGAGAGAGAGGTGGGTCCCTGTCCTCACAGGGGATGGCTGCCAGGCCTGCAGAAGGAGCTGAGAGCAACAGGACCCCCTGCACTCCGGGCCCTGGCACATTCCCTTTCTACTCCCTAGCCCGTCCCCTTTTATGTCTGGTATCCCCCATCCACAACCCCTCACTTGTGGGAGGACCCCATCTCTGCCTCCTCCCCAACCCAAACCCCCATCTCCAGCCTCCTCCCCACCGGATGCTTCTGTCTGTTGGCCACATCCACATCTCCCTGTCCTTCCCCACCAGGTGCCCTGTCCCAGGCCCTTACCCATCCAAGGCCTCCCTCCCCAGACCCTCCCCAGCAAGGGTCCCCCATCTTAAGTCCCTGCCCTTCCCCCATCTCATGTCCAGGCCTCTTCCCAGTACCTCTGTCCCAGGCCTTGCCCACCTGGGTGTCCCCCCAATTCCAGCCCCTCACCTGTCTGAGGCCCCCGTTTTCCCAGAGGTGTCCCCTGCTGGCTCCTTCCTTTCCTCAGGCAGGTTGCCTGACATCTCCTGGCTTGCTATGGGCAGGACTGACTTCACCTCTCCACCCCAGGCCTTCTTGCTCTTGCAGGTGTAGGTCCCCATACCCCCCATGCCCAGCTTTGAGGATGCTGCCATGACAGTTGTGAGAAGCCCCTGGGTACGGCCACAGAGAAGGCGTGGGGCGGCAAGGCAGATGGTCCCAGCCCCCTCCCCCCGTTACATCCCACTCGGCTCATCATCAGGGAAATGGCACCCTGGTCTGGCAAGGGGTGTGCCTGGGCTCCCGCCAGGGCTGTCAGAGCTCCTCGGACTGTCCTTGCGCCCCACGAGGGGATGGAAAAAGTGGAACATGGAGGAGCACCCCGAAATTCGTGATTGGGGCTTCGGAGCTGGGGCCTCAATCCTGATAAGGTCCCCAACTCAGATCCTGTAGCAGCCACCCCAGGACCAACTGCTTAAGAACAGGAGGAGTTTTCAGATTAAAACCTCCAGCTGGAAACTTCCTGGGATTCTGGAAGGCAAAGATGGGGGAAGACGGGGGGTTGGGGGAGATTAGTTGGAGGTAGAGGGGGCAGTGGTTTGATGAAACAGGGAAGGAGGTGTAGGGGGAGGCACGGGGTTTGGGGGGCAGGGGGTGGAGACTTGGGAGAAGAAGATGTGAGAGCCCCAGGAAGCTTGGCAGGGAGCGAACAGGGAGAAGCGGGGAGGGAACTGAACCCTGAGGGCAGGGGGCTGTCAGGACTGCACACACCTCTGTCCTCCTTGGGTTTGTTCTGTCCTCAAGAACACTCCCAGCAGCCAGACAGTATCTGTCTTCCCTCTTAGCATCCAAGTTTTATGTGTCCAGGTGGTAGCACAGACCCCGCTAAGTCTATTTATTTATTTGTTTTTATTTTTATTTTTAATTTTTTGAGACGGAGTCTAGCTCTGTCTCCAGGTAGGAGTGCAGTGGCGCGATCTTGGCTCACTGCAACCTCCGCCTCCCAGCTTCAAGCGATTCTCCTGCCTCAGCCTCCCGAGTAGCTGGGACTACAGGCGCCTACCACCACACCTGGCTAATTTTTGTATTTTTAGTAGAGACAGGGTTTCACCATGTTGGCCAGGAAGGTCTCGATCTCTTGACCTTGTGACCCACCTGCCTCGGCTTCCCAAAGGGCTGGGATTACAGGTGTGAGCCACTATACCCAGCCCTATTTTTATTTTATTTTTTTGAGACGGGGTTTCGTTCGCCCAGGCTGGAGTGCAGTGGTGCGATCTCAGCTCACTGACACCTCCGCCTCCCGGGTTCAAGTGATTCTCCTGCCTCAACCTCCCAAGTAGCTGGGATTATAAGCTCACGCCACCATGCCCGCCTTTTTTTTTTTTTTTTTTTTTGATGGAGTTTCACTCTTGTTGACCATACTGGAGTGCAATGGCTCAATCGCAGCCCACCGCAACTCCGCCTCCTGGGTTCAAGGGATTCTCCTGCCTCAGTCTCCCGAGTAGCTGGGATTACAGGTATGTGCCACCACGCCTGGCTAATTTTGTATTATTAATAGGGATGGAGTTTCCCCATGTTGGTCAGGCTGGTCTCGAACTTCCAACCTCAGGTGATCCGCCAGCCTCGGCCTCCCAAAGTGCTGGGATTACAGGCGTGAGCCACCGCGCCTGACTAATTTTTTTTTTTTTTTAAACAGAGTCTCATTCTGTTACCATTCTGCTGCCCAGGCCAGAGTGCAGTGGCGTGATCTTGGCTCACCGCAAACTCCACCTCCTGGGTTCACGCCATTCTCCTGCCTCAGCCTCCCGTGTAGCTGGGACTACAGGCGCCTGCCACCATGCCTGGCTAATTTTTTTGTATTTTTAGTAGAGACGGGGTTTCACCGTGTTAGCCAGGATGGTCTTGATATCCTGACCTTGTGATCCGCCTGCCTCAGCCTCCCTTTTTTGTATTTTTAAAAGAGACGGGGTTGCGCTGTGTTGGGCAAGCTGGTCTTGAACTCCTGGTCTCAGGTGATCTGCCTGCCTAGGGCTCCCAAGGTGCTGGGATTACAGGCGTGAGCCACCGTGCCTGGCCTTTTTTTTTTTTAGACAGAACTCTCCCTCTGTTGCCCTGGTACGATCACAGCTCACTGCAGCCTCAACCTCCTGGGCTCAAGCAATCTTCCCACCTCAGCCTCCCCAGTAGTTAAGACCACAGGCATACACCACCACGCTTTGCTAATTTTTTTTTTTTTTTTCCATATAAGCAGGGTATTGCTGTTCCCAGGCTGGCCTGGAACTCCTGCACCTGGCCTCAAGCGATCCTCTTGCCTTGGCCTCCCAAATGGCTGGGATGGGATTATAGGCAGCCTGGAGGGGTGATGGGATTATAGGCGTGACACACCAGCTGGCTGCCTTTTTTGTTGTTGTTGAGACAGGGTCTTGCTCTGTCGCCCAGGCTGGAATGCAGTGGTGCAAACATGGCTCACTGCAGCCTCAACTTCCTGAGCTCAGGTGATCCTCCTGCCTCAGTCTCCTAGGTAGCTGGGACCACCACATGCACAGGTGTGCACTACCATACCCAGCTAGTTTTTAACTTTTTTTCTGTAGAGACATGGTCTCCCTTTGTTGCCCAGGCTGGTCTTGAACTCCTGGGGTCAAGTAATCCTCCCACCTCGGCCTTCCAAAGTGTTGGGATTACAGGCGTGAGCCACCATGCCCGGCCTCTATTGAGTTTTAATCTCCATTTACTTGACTATCACCTTCAAGATTTCAAATCTCCAGAGACCACCAAGGTGCATGGTGCACAGGTCTGAATTGCAGGTTGAATCTCAATTTAGTATTAATATTCCCCAACACGACTACAGAACTGATTATTACTATTTTTTTTCTTTTTTTTTTTTTGAGATGGAGTCTTGCACCATCCCCCGGGCTAGAGTGTAATGGCGCGATCCTGGCTCACTGCAACCTCCGCCTCCCGGGTTCAAGCAATTCTCCTGCCTCAGCCTTCTAAGTAGCTGGGATTACAGGCGCCCGCCCACCACACCCAGCTGATTTTGTTAGCCAGAATGGTCTCAATCTCTTGACCTAGTATCCGCCCGCCTCAGCCTCCCAAAGTGCTGGGATTACAGGCATAAGCCACCACGCCCGGCCCAGAACTGATTATTAACCCAGCTCAGTGACCTTTAGAGAGCACCTTAAACCAGCTGAGCCTCTGTTTGTTAATCTGAATGGGTATTGTCAACAGCACTCACTTACAAGAGTTGTTGAGAAGATCCAACGACACAATAGTTGCTAAAGTGCCAGGCATGCAGCAGTGCTTAAGAAACTTCTCACCCTGGGTTTTTTTTATTGGTATTGATTGATCTAGAGATGGGGGAGAAGATCAAAGACAAAGATTGAGAATCAGGGATGGGAAAAGCAGCGGGCCACTGACAGCCGCTCTGCCTGGTTGGGAGGTGGGGTGGGGAAAGTGGGCGGGAGCTGCTCCTGGGCCTGGCCCACCCAGATCACCCCTCCGGGCTGCAGGCCTGTGCGTCTGCATCCGGTGGCCACAGAGCAACTTCCTCTAGAGGGAGCTGATTGGAGCCGGTTGCCACTGGAACCTCTATGATCACTGGAGTCGCGCGGGTCCCTCAGGCCGCACAGGGACAAGCAAAGGCTACATCCAGATGCCAGGAATGCACTGACGCCTGTTCCTGGAAGCCGGGCTCCCACTCAGCCCCTGGGAACAGCAGCCGCCAGCCCCTCGGGACCTCTCTCTCTGCCCTGCTGAGCCACCCGGGTTGGGCCAGGATCCTGGCAGGTAAGCTGGAAGGGTCCTGCCCGTCCTCCCAGATCTCAGCAGCCCCAGCCCCAGGGTGGGGCAGGGAGCCTGCCGGGAGCCGGGTGGGGAAGGGGAAGCTCAAGGCTTACCTGGGCAGGTCTGCCAGCCCGGCTGGGGACCTGATCGTGGCAAGCCTACTTCTGGCTGCCCCTCACAGCTTCCCCTCTTGCCCCAGCCCTGGATGCCGGAGAACTGTGAGAACTGGGTCCTTTAACAGTCTGGGAGATGGGGGTGGAGGTCAGAGCCAAGGTCAAGGGCAGAGAGAGAACTTTCTCAGCGCTTCCTGCTGCCCAGTATCCCTAGACTGGGTCCAGGGCCTGGCCAGGCATGTATCCCTGGGGAACATTCATCAGGGCCCAGCAAGCCCAGAAAGTCGGGGGTGGCTCCCCTCACCGGGAATTTAGGCCACTTGGATTGGGGGACAGAGCTAGGCCTGAGTCAGCATAGGTTGCTGGCCTTGGGGGGTGTCCTGAGGCTCTACCTGCTCCCCTCAGGAACCTGGGTTGTTGGTAGAGGGAGTTGGGGGTGCCGTCAGCATCCTCTGGCCCTACTGTCCTGAGGGTGCTGGGTTCTGGAGACTGGGGAAGAAGGAAGGCCATCTTATTTAAGGAGCTACGGGGGTGTGGGGGTTTTATTTTTTGTTTTTCGAGACAGAGTCTCACTCTGTTGCCCAGGGTCGAGTGCAGTGGCGCGATTTCGGCTCACTGCAACCTCCCCCTCCCAGGTTCAACCGATTCTCCTGCCTCAGCCTCCCGAGTAGTTGGGACTACAGGCGTGCGCCACCATGCCCAGCTAATTTTTGTATTTTTAGTAGAGACAGTGTTTCATTATGTTGGCCAGGCTGGTCTTGAACTCCTGACCTCGTGGGCCACTGTGCCCGGCTGCAAAGTTCTGTTTTAACAAGGCCTTGCCCCTAGAGGTGGAGGAGAGGAGAGTCTGCCTTCGCCCTGTCCGTGTCCGGCAGAGCAAGGAGTGGGGAGCTGGGTGAGGGCACAGGTGGTCCAGCCCTCCTCTACCCCTTCTCGAGAGCTCTTGGGGCAGTTTCGAAAACACTCCCAGGCCTAGCGGAAGGAGGGTGGGCGAAGGTCCCCAGGCCCTGGGCGGTGGGAGTGGGGCTGTGTGCTTGGCCCAGGGTGGGGCTGCACACCCCCTCCCTCTGAGATAGGAGGAGGGCGCTTTCCTTCTGAGGGCCGGAGGGTGCCTGGGGAAACGGGGCTCTGGGAGGGGTGCAAACTGAAAGTGAAACAGCTGACATCCAGGAAACGCCCTGATGAGGGGTCACAGCACGTTGGTGCTGCGGTCAGGACCAGGCAAA